ATGCAGTTCAAAAGTCTTCAGACTTCAGTTGAAAAGTCATTAAAGTAATACAATCCTGGGTTAATGAGAAATAACATCTACTGCATTGATGGTAAATTAATATCAATGCAAATATTCCTCTTAATTGATTTTTGTTATTTGGAAATGAATATATTAACTGTTGTTTTATATTGCTGCTCTTCCAGATAATTCTGTAAATCACCTACATCACTACAGATTAATGCAGAATTGTGTGTGTGTGTGTCTGTGTGTCTGTGTGTGTGTGTGTGTGTGTTTACATAAGTGTTATCTACCCCTATGACCCTTGTGTACGGTGGATGAGTGTAGAGTATGAAACCCACAGAGAGAGCTTATCCCCGCTGGATCAGACTGAATTACCATCTCCTCTCACATCTGGGCTTTTGTTCCCCTCTTTGGCAGCATTCGAAATGATTGCACCTTCATTCACTCCCTCCCTCCCTTTCTTAACAGGACAAGTGGGAGGTTAAAAAAGCTTCCTTTTGTTATTCCACACAAAGACTGTTTAATAGTTTGGAAATCTTATATAGAGTGCTGAGTGACTGAGAAAAGGGCAAAAGTTCATTCAGGAGAATATAAACTCTCTTTCAACATCAACAGCAGGTAAAGTCTCTGTCTTGTTACAAACAACTTTTTGTACACAGCGTGAACCTAGATATACAACATCTTACATAAGAGCTTCTCTTCTCATGGTGTGGACTTCACAGGGAGATATGTAACAACTGTAACATACAGTATCAGCAGAATTGTGCTATCACAGCTGAAAACTCAATGCTTTCATATTCAGCCTGAATGGTTTAGAATATTCGGGACGGGTTTTGGCAGGTGTCTAAAAATACAGCTTTCACATTCTCAGAAGCTATGTTTTTGCAAACATTTGGTAATGTTGGTGTCAAAAACTCAGGAACTTCGTGCTGTTAGGGACTTTTCTGCTCTGGGGTTTGTTCCTGTTGTAAAGTTGGCAGACTCACGCACACAGTCAGCACAATGTTTGTTAGAGAAGCAGCCACATGCCAGTTATAGACCTTCATCAGGCATTACACAATAAACAGCATGTGTGTATTATATCCACAGCTTGCCTCGGCCAGAGGCATGAATATTTTTGGACTAAACAAGCACTTACAAGAAGTCACTTTAGGGTCTGAAAACTCTTTTTTCTGTCATTTTTATAAACCAAACAATCGATAAATCAGACAAATAATAAAAATATGTAATTGTCAGTGAAAATTGTTTGTTAATTGTTTAATTGTTTTGCAGCCCTGTTGTCATTAACAAGTGCTCGACGGCTAATTGAGAACAAGGCTTTCTGGTGTTTCAGCAACATTAATCTGTATTAAACAGGAGAGCAGAAGACAGTCGGATGCAGCAGGGAACATGTGTACAGCAGTTTGTCGTGATTTAACATCTCCAGTGAAACTAACACGTCCAGTTGCTTTCAGCCTTTAATTACATCATAGATTTCCTGCTGATGAACAGGCAGAGAATTAACAGTGAACGGGCTAATTCACAGCTGCTCTCCCCCACCCACATGCTGTTATTGCTGTACAAGTAGACCGCTGAGGGATAAAAAAAAAAGAGCAAGGTGCACTTAGCTACACAAACATTAGTATTAACGATTGGGCTGCCAGTTTGGAATTGGTGACAAACTGCAGACGGGCAAAAATTGGACTCCGAAACCAATCAGGAAGTTAATGAGGAGAAAAATTACTCCTCTTTGCCCCTCCTACCACTGTTGAGGAGAGAGAGGGATGGTGGAGGGTGAGGGATGAGGAAACATGAGGGAGGCCAATAAAGAAATAAGAGGATTCTGAGAAACACTAGACATCATGTTATCTGATCATGAGATTATTCTGAGTAAATATGTCCATCATAAGCAGAATAAGGCTTTGAAAGAATTGGATTTGTCCTCAACTGGAGCACATTTAACCTTTTTTATTATAACTGTGATTGGCAAATATGTTTAAAAAGTTTAGTGAAAACCAGCAATTTTGATATTTTGCTTAAATAATGATTACTTTCTGGTACTAACTACAATTTGTTTCACAAAGTTTTACACTGGATTTCAACTTGGCAAAGTTCTTGTATGGCTGGTTGTATACCTCATTTTACATTTGAGAACTTTGGCTTCTTTGCACATATTTGTAAATGTAATGAATCAGAAAATATTGTTTTGGTATTGATACAGAAACTCGTTCACTTGTATAGAAATATGTCAAATTATACCGTATCCTTGCCACTATTAACAAAAATTACAAAGTAGTGAAATAATTAAGATATTTTAAATTTTCAAGCAAAAATAAAAATAACATTTTGACATTGTTGTTGTGGCATTGTGCAGCCTGATGTCCTACATTGTACTGCAGCTGCTGCATGACAGTTTCCCTCAGAATAAACAAGTTCTATCTTATCTAAAAGTTATCTTATTGCAAAATTCTGGGAATATTCAAAGGGTTATTGATTGTATTTACTATATAATATGCAGATAGAAACAAACAACAACAACAAAAAAATCCTATGGCCCTCTTCCAAAAACCTCTCATGGCTCCTATCCTCTCTGTGTACTGTATCAGACTCTGATGCCTCATCTTCACAATCCAAGTTTGTTGAGGATGGCACGATGGCGAGCAGTTTTTCAGCTCGTGCATTGGCCAGCCTTTTGCGTGTCTTGGTCTGAGTTTTCCCAAGCAGGCTCCTGGTACGCTTGGAGGCGGTTGTTGTTGATAGGATCTGGAGGAAGTCCCTTCCACCAGGTGGCTGATGAGATATGCTGGCACATATTCCACATACGTCCCACTTTGCTGACTGCCAAGATACTTGCCTTCATCAAAGCCAGACAAATTCCCAAACTGAACTTCCCTAAAAAAATTCTGGAAATCTACCAAACCTTTGCAACCCTTCCTTAAATTGGGTGTTTTTGTCTGACCAATCCTCTTATTTGAGAAGCTGGAATTGTTTGTCAATTTCACTAAATAAATTACTTAAATATCCAGTGTGTAACATTGAGGAGGGTCTATTGGTAGAAAAGAATAATATTCATAGGTATGTTTTCATTAGTGAATAATCACCTGAAAATAAGAATTGTGTTGTTGTTATGAGCCATTTTCATCGGTAGAGAGAGGGCATGCTTTTCTACAGAGTCCGCCATGTT